TAGCAATATCTCTTCTTCTCTGATAAGTGGATAGCAACTTTGAAGCCTGGTCCTGTGGCTGACATACAACAGCAAAGCAGGTGTCTCATGTTTTTTTTTCATGGTTATGGAAAATATCATGAAACTTTAATATTCAGATGAAACTTTAATATTGAGAGTGCTTGAAGCCCTGCTGCTTTCTGAGTTCCAACGATGACTGCCATGGGTTTCCAAACAGCCAACTAACTTGCTGGCTTTGGCTTGTATTTCTTGATTGCCGGTGAAACAATTTCATCTGCTGACCTGCAAACCATGTGAGTGTTTTGTGAAGATGGTGAATTTCAAAAATAAAGGTAGGCAGTGATCTCCCTGTAAGGCTGTCTGTCAGATTGGTAGGTCCTGCAAAAGCTCTCTCAAGCTTCAGATGATCCTGTTTCTTCATACGGAGGCGTGAATGTTACTGCATGCTCTAACTGCCATGGCACACGAAGCGCAAACTCCTGCTGCCAGCCTTTGAGAAAGTGAGCAGACATAGTGACAAAGCAGAAGGGATGGCCAGACACGGAGAAGGCTAATCCTCAAGGAACTAGTCGTGCTAAGGGCAAGAGATGAGGCCCTAAGACATGTCCTCCTGCCTGGCAACAGATGTGGCAGGGGTGGGAAGGCAACTGTGACCTCTGCTTTGCGTGCAGTGCAAGGTGGTTCTAGTGGGGAACTGCTGCATTACATTGGAGTCTGCATTTCAAAGTTGACCACTTCAGTTTAATCTACTTCTTCCCACTGCTAGTCAGCAGGTAGTAATTAGTCTGTCCTCTGTCATTCATTTAAAAATCATTATACTGTAAGTATGACTGAAATGGCTAAGCCATATACAGAATGAAGCACTCTCTGGACTTGAGCGGACCATGCATCTTTCTTCGAATCATGTTGTTCCTGTTCTGGGGACCATGTGCCTTAATGCCGCTTGTGACAATGAATGCAGGATTTACAGGGTGCCTTTAAAGGTCTGAATTAGGCCAATAAGAAAGGTAAATCTCTGGGGAATCTGAATACGTCATGAAGTGTTTATCTGACGGAAGCAGTAGAGAGGAGTGCTTATCACTTTAGATAACATGCAGTTTGAAATTTCTAAGGTAGTTTTCAGCTGCACTTCAAAATGCTTAATAACTTAATATGGCCTTCTGGGCTGAACTATAATATACATTACTTCTTCAAGGAAGAGAGATTAAAAGTACATTTTAAAATTAAGCACTTCAAGTAAAGAGATGTTTGCTTTATTTTCCCAGTAGAGTTTTCTTATTCATGCACGCTGAAGAAGCTGGGCACATGGATGATAAAGGGGATGCATTGAGAGCACACAGACTGCCTTCACTCTAGCATACTCAGCTTTCAACTCACATAATTCAAAGTTTATTTGCTTCCTTCTGTACGCTTTCTTTAAGGTACTTTCAGATTACACCTCTTAGCAACTGCTGCAGTTGTCTCACTCCCTTTCATCCTGTCTGGGCTTTGCAGCCTGAGGTGCTGCTGACTGATCCCACGTACCCAGCGAAGGAAGTACTCTGGCATCCTAAATTCCAAGTATTGCATCCACAGGGCATTGCTAGCCCACATGCTTGGCCCTCCTATTCTTTCTGGTAAGGCTGGAAGAGGAAAGTACCAACTGCCTGTGGTGTCTGTAAGAACAGAAAAGGTGGCTGAATGAGCTGTTAACTCATTAGAAGGGTTTAGTGGGGGAAATCCAGCTGAGCCAAATTCTGTAGGGTAATATGAGAAAGACCAGGCAGCAGAGTAGAGCCTGGATGTTTTTGCCTTCTTTCTCATCCTTCTTGCTCCTTTTCCCCAGCCTGCTGCTCCCAGAGTTCCGGTGTTATCTGGGCCAAAACCTTTGGGATATTTACTGTTAAAGCTTTTGGTGGAGGTGTAACAGAATAGCAGGAGGAAGGCAGTATGGTGACAGCATTTTGCTGATTACATAAGTGCAATAAAGAAGTGGAAATACTCAACCTTTATCATGGCAAGACTGAATGGAAATCTATGCAACAAAGAAAACTTGCTTCTCTCAGCTGAAGCTAAAAGCTTGCAGGAAAACTTTTCCAGAGAAGGTCACACGGGCCTTTTGTAATGGGATGTGGCAAACAATCTGAAGCTCTAACACAGATGAACATACAAATAGCAGTAAACACATGCAGTCACTGAGCACTATATGCTTTATTTCTGTGTATGAGCCAGCTTTTTGCAATAAATTAGCGTTCCTTAGATGAACTATACAGAACTGACCAACCTGTGTACCTGCAGACAATCTGGCTCCAGGGTCTTTTAAACTTTAGGACAACTTGCCCTCGAGAAGTAAAAGGTACAAATGATACTGCTTTGAAAGAGTGAGTTTCTCAATAGATGTTGAAGGGCCCTCACATAAAAAATATTTGCATTTTTATGCTTGGTATGCGAATTCTTTAAACCTATACTGACACATGCATGTATCTTGGAAAAAAAAAAGAATACTCACAATAAGACATATATTACACAACTTCCACAGAGCCATCAGCTTAAATTAAAAAAAGAGGCCTTGCAAATTACAATCATTCTAAAAATCAAAATAGCTTAGCCAGCTGTTAAAGAAGTGCATACATTCATCATTACTGAATGCATTACTGCTTTAAACATATATAATTCCAAAATAATCTCCTTGAAATAAACACAGCAATAGCCATAAAACATGCTGGACCTGAAATTGAAGACAAAGCAAGCAGTCTTTGTTGTATTACAACACTGACAAAATACATTTTAATCATGTCCAGTCTTATGAATTCTAGAACAACCTGGAATGCCATTTGGCCTTCATGATTAATGTGTACTTTATCATTGTAAACAGAGCTTCCTGAACATTTCTATAAAGTCTGCTTTTGAATCAACATTTAAACAATCAGCATTGCCCCCTCTCTCCTTTTACGTTGTGGTGGTTGTGTGCAGATTCTAAATGAGGTATAAAGTATCAGGATTATTCATATTTAAGTAGAGAAAAATAATTTCATCACATAAAAAAGCTGAAATTCTGAATGACCTCAGGTATTAGCTTTGTTGACTTGAATGGCAGAATTTGTGCTCTCCTTATCCATCTCAGGAATTAAAGAATTTTATGTGACATGCCTGATGCGTTGATCAATAAACCAACAACAAGCATTTACTCTGCAAGTTCAGTGTAGTTTCAAAAATCTGCATTCACCAAGCCAGTAGCAGATCAATAGACAAGGCATCTTGCTTAGTGGTGTGCATAAATGAAGTATGACTAAACTTTTAACACCCAATGAATGCAGATTAGGATGATAAAATCTATATGCAGAATGTGTTCTGCAAGCTATGCAATGAGAGCATGCTTGAGAGTGTAATGTGCAATAAAATTTAAAAGTTTTAAGAAATCCTTACTTTAATTTTCATTCTCTGCTCCACTCAGTATTTACATTGTGGGCTTGCAGTCAGCATTAATTTTGGTTTGAGACCTGTTGCAAAGGTCCTCAGTATATTTGTTGCTGTGCGTTCATCTGTCAGTTCTACAGCTTCATGTTACTTTAAATCTCTTCTATTTTCCTAAGCGCTTATCCCCTTATTTGGCACACTTTAATCTCCTAACTAGCTCCCTTCTGTTGTCAGTAAAGTTTCTGATGTGTCATTATTGCTATAGGAGTCAATCATCTTTAGTTCATGATGCAGATAAAAAGAACAAAACTGATTTTTTATTAACGGCCTAAGATATTTGTATTTAAACAACAATGATTCCAAGTGGTATTATTTTAATCCAGATGCTTGAATTCAGAAGCACTACGCTATAGCGTTGTCAGATAAAGTCAAATATCAAATCAGTCTGTTTCTAATCTAATCTGCTAAACCAAAGTTTCATTAAATCTCCTTTAATGGCTTTCTGTTTTTCTCTCAGCTGGTTCAGACTTTCCCAAAATATTAAATTTTCTTTTCAAAAAGTTGTCTGAATGACCAAAAACATGGCATTTCCTAAATGCAGATCTACCTACACATAACATAAAATGCAACAATGAATGCTGCATAGTAAATAACCTTAATTATATGAAACAGTGAATATTCTGAAGAAACTCAATGAAAATTTATTTTCATTGATGCATACATGAGTATACCAGAGCTGTATTTCCCAGATAAACAGAAATTACCAAAAACTTTAGCACCATGAAGAAAATAATTAATACTCATTCAATGCAGGTCTTAACTCTTCCTCCAGTAACAAGAGAATTAACCATTTCTGATGATACATGATTAGCCAAGAGGGAAAACATCCTAAACCTCTGAAAAATCTGTATTTCTTTCATCTGTATTTTCATTTATTCAGAGTATTGAGCTCATTAGTGGTTCTCATTCAAAATAATCTAACTATATCTCTGTTTTCTTCACTGAAAAGCAGGCATCTTTTATTCTAATCAATGAAGGTCTTATATAGTGCCACATACGTGAATAAACCTCTGCAAATTGGAAATTCACTAACAAGTACTACATAACACTGAAGAATTCAGTTTTCCAGGTTGATTTTTTTTTCTATTTCTGCTATGATGGTCAATTATATGTAAATATTTCATTAATGTTACAGTACATATTGTTTAAATCAGGTAACTTATTAAGAGTTGATTATCTTAAATCTGTGAAGTAAACAAGAAGAGTAAATACTAAAGACAGTAGCTCAGCATAAAAATGTGATATGCCCTTGAACTTATAACACTGCAGCAAGCAATTACCTTAAAGAAGCCACCCACACAACAGAACTATGGCTTTGTTCCTTATCTTCAAAGAACAAGCCACTTGCATCTGGATCAAATCCTTTAAACAATACACGAACACTGAACATCAAAGCACTTTCATTTTCTTCAGTTATTTAATTCAATTAGCGCTAATACAGACATGAATTTAGACACTGATTGCTGTGTAGAAAATCCCCAGAAAACTTGTTCACGAAATTAATCAATTTGGTTTTAATTTTATAGAGATTTTTCCCCCAGTACCTGACAGGAGCACCTCTGCTCTGTGCAGGTTTCAGCAAGACTGTCACAGTGCTGTCAGTTTGATTCAAAGGTGTTTCAAGTTCATATGATGGCATAGAGGGTGCTAGAATAAGAAAAGAGGAAAAAAATAATCATTATTCCTGTATTTCTTCTCTGCAAAGCTGTATCTTCATTTGAATGGGTAATTTTAAAGACTTTTTCAAATATAAAGACCGTATTATAGGTCTAAGACACTTTTGGCTACAACACAAGTGTGGGGCAACTATTAAATAACTTCAAGGGAAAAAATAAACAACCAACCAAACTCGCTGCTGATCTCAGGACAGGAAACAGATACTAGTAGGTAGAAAGCACTGAGAATCCATGACTTGGAAATGAAAAGTTATCTCAAGAAGAGAATCTGCAAATGTGTGTGCTGAAGGGCCCATAGTTTTTGAATTTGAGCCCAGATTTCTCAGTATGTCAATGGTATTAGGATGCACTCTCAGAATTTGTTATTCCAAGAATCTGAACTGGTGCTTTAATTGTCCTGGGTCTGTTGTCCACCACAGACATAATTTACAATAATGAAGCAAGATTATCACCATGAGAGTTTATCTTAGTCTGAAGCCACATTCAACAGCACTTTTGCAAACTGTGTCTTCATTAAGAAATTACAGTTGTGATTAAAACGAATGGCACCTCAGCTATTGTCTTTTACTGTCACTGCTTTTTTCAGTGCTATCATCTAGTCACATTTTTATCATTCTATTGGATGGAAGGCTGCTTGGTTAATTGGTTGTTTAGCAGTCTGTTGTATCTTTATTGTCCAGTTATTAATGATGACACACAATTAACAGATTTAAAGGCTATAGTACTGAAAAGTGGTCATTGCAATGATCTTTGATCACAGCAATAAGGCAGGGCAGTGGACTTCCTAACCTGTTTGAAAAAGAAAATATATTTGTTGGCAAGAAGATCTTTTATTTAGAAGGTTCTTCCAAAGACTAATTATATTTCATGTTGAACGTGGGGACCTGTTTGGCATTTCTGTTTGTTTATCTTCATCTCCCAGCCCCTGGATACCTAGTGTACCATACTGATTAACACTACTCAGAGTGTATTACGTTCCACATAGAGATAATATCAACTTCTAGGCTCCTCTAGCAAATTAAATAGCTGCAACAATGTGAGTCTTTCTTTCAAGTGCATTTTCCGATCATTTTCACCCTCCCAGTAGCAGCTACATCTACTTGAAAGGTGTATGAACTTCTCTCTCCTTTATACACATTGCCCTACATATCCAAGGAAGAACTGCATTAACAGTTTTGCCCACAACTCTTCAGGTTGCTGTGAAAACATTAATAACAACTTCATGACTTTTCATTGATATTCACCAGTTTTGAAATGCTTTGCAAATAAAAAAATTAATCTTCAAAAATCTCCTTGTAAGCTGAGAGGGTTTTACTCTGTTTACAGTCCTGGATATAAGACACAAACATTTAGACCCATCATTATAAGTTATTTTGGTACCCACTTTGGGAAGCTGAAAGGCATAATTTTACATAGTATTTTAAAGATTCAGACACAATTTTCTCATATTCCAGTTTTGCAGTTTTGAATATCCAGAACTTGTACACACAATGCCCCATTCTCAAGTTAAGCATCCTAAAAATAAGGGAAGCACAAAGTAACTGCATCTCCAGAAAGCTGTATGAACTCTGCAGGTTTTAGGAACACTCAGGCATTTCTTGCCCTTGGCAATCTTCCTAACTTAGGACTCCTAGGTCCCTACTTGCACTCTTTACTAATCATATTCTCCTTCTGCCAAAACTGTTTCACTCTCCAGATTATGAGCTGTGTTTGTCCAAGTCCCATCTTTCAGTACCAGATACTTTTTCTCTTCCTCGCAGATACTTGCACGTCATTTATTCTTGCACTTTTCTCCTGTCTAGGTTAGGAGTCTTCCTTCTCCACACTGCCCACATGTAAAGAAGTAGCTTATCAATAAACAGAGAAAACAGGTGATGTTCCTCCTGTTCACAGTTTTTGCAACTGCACACCCTGGTTTTCTGCAGCAGGAAGCTCAGAAACGGTAAGGCCCTTAGTGACTCCCTCTCTATTGTGGGCACACCGAGCTGTCGAACACACAGGCAAAGCTCCAAAAGGCTTGGAGAACTTAAAGCTATTTAGTGAGTACCGCATTTATGGTGACGTCCGTTGATCAATTCTGCCGAGTTTCTACCATTTGTGTGCAAATTGCAACATTTACAAATTGCCCAAGTCTGGAGAGATTTTCAGTGATGGCTCGGAGTAATGTCTCTCTTCTTGCTAAATATTTAAATCCCTGTTTGAAAGCATTTCAGTAATGTATCGGTCACCAAAATTTTTCATGATGTCAGCCTTGTTCCTGAAATGGGTGAAATTCTTCTTAGTGTGAATGGCAGCACACAAAATCTCAGCCCACACAGCCGACTTTTCATGAAGTTGCATGCAACAGAAAACAGTCTTCTAACAGAGTGCCCATCAGTTTTGATAGCATGCACTGCCTCAAGCTCTGCTTCTGGTAATACCTATTTACATAAAGATGGCCTCATCCATCAGTGCCAATCAAACTAGCGTAGAATGAAATATGGCAACTATTTACAGTACAGAATAGTACTGTTCAAACACTTAAAACAGGAAATTAAGAGTATTTTGTTCAGATGGAGTCTAGAGTTGGACCAAGTAAAATGCAATGACTCAATCCCGAAACTGGTCAGAATGCAACTCATTTGTTCTGTAGAATCATAGAATGGCCTAGGCTGGAAGGGTCCTTAGAGATCATCTAGTCCAACCTCCCTGTTTTGGGCAGGGACGCCACCTCTCAACTAGACCTGGCAACACACGGGGATAGTGAGATGTTTCACCCATAGATGTTCAGCAGTTTTGCTTTGTATTTATCCAAACTGGAGCCACACCAAGAGTGTCAGAGCCTCACAGTGAGACAAGGAGATCACAGGACAATAGCACTGCAAAGAAGTGACCGTATTCAACGGCTAATATTTTGGTTGTGATTTTCCAATGATACTAAGCATTCCGCTTCCTAATGCATTCCGCTTCTGTTTTAAATTCATCAAGAGACTGCCTTTAATTACCTATGGGCATGTCATAAACATTCCCCGTTAGTAAAGTAACTACCACGAAGTAATTGGGTGCAGACAAGACGGCCTGCAGAATCTCGTTACACGGTAGCTCAGAGGAAAGCCTCACTCCCAAGTGCGCCTGAAATGTCTGTTCACATTGATGAAGTTTAGCTGGGGACATATCAAATTTAGAAAAGAACAATTTAAGAATCAGTATTATTCTCAAATCTCCAGATTCTCATCCATTCTCAGTAGTCTCCTTCCTTCCTCATTCTAATAAGTGCTGGTTCTGCCACCCTAACTCCTATCAAATCTTGCTGTGTCAAAAGTTTATTTCTGACAGAGGAAGTTTCTACTCAGTATAGGAAAGGGGATGGAAAAGGAACTCCATCTTCATGGAACAGTTAATTATGTTTAGACTTTCTGTAAAGAATAATCTTCTAACTTGAAAATTAGCAAATATTTTTTTTTTCTCTACAAACATCTCTACTGGCAATGACGTCTACTCTGCATTAACTGCCCATTCCAGAAATTGCTCTGTTTCTGATTAACACTTGCGGTTTTTTTTTCCTTCCAGTAAGGACAGAAAATGAGCGATGGGGAAAAGTACACAGAATGAGAGTAAAAGAGAAAGATTTTGTACCCAAACACTTTCCTATATCCTTCCTGAAGAGCAAAGGCGATCAAAAATAGATCAGGTAATTCTGCATAAATATTATGAAGGGGCCACAGTTCAACTGCCAGTTTAATTCTGTGGACTGTGGAGATGTGAAAAGTGAAGGGATTTCAGCTGTAAGTTTGCAAAATATTTTGTCATCAAGTACGTAAGCGTTTTAGAGGATGTAATAGTATTGCGTCCCATCAACTAGAGAAATGAAGTGTTCCTCTTCCTCCGGGAGGGCTTTGAAATATTGTTCATGGGTCTGCAGAAGTGACAGTCATGCTGCTCTTATCTGAAAGCCACTAGTCCTGATCGTCTTGTCCAGTACAGTTACATACCCACTTGAGTCCACATGCCTGCTAGGAACATACGCAGGCTGGTAGTTAGCTACGCTTTCTAAGCGAGGGCTAGACATCGAGTATTTCTGCTCTACTCTCAATTGTTCATGGCTCATTAAAGAGATTTTTCCAGCACCGTTACTGTTCTAATTTAGAATCACTTCAAGGCTGACTAAGCTCTGAATGAAACCCTCATCCTCATGTCCAAAAAACCCTATGCTAAATGTTGCAACAGCAGCTGGCACTAACTGCAGGCACATAACTCATAGGGTTTCTTTGGTGATAACTTACAGTTGTGAACAGGAATTTCAAAGTACTATCTGATATTTAAGCATTTGGAAGATTTTCAGATATGCTAACATACGTCAGTCTGACATCTTCAGGGATGAACATGTATTCCACTTTTTTAATTTGCTGCTTGTTATATCCTAAAGAAAAGCAAACAGCAAAAAGAATTACCCAGGTCATTATCACAAAAATATTGTTTATATTCTTTAATAGAGTACCTGATATTTTAGTGGTGAACTGATTTGTGATTGGAGGTCCAAAGCCTTTAGCTGTGCTGGCTCTGATGGTGAAAGAGTAGGTAGTGCCAGGATACAGTCCAAAAAAGAGATAGTGGGTTTCATTTCCTAGCTTTGAGACTCGTCCACTTTGATTGGATAAATCTATTTCTGGGTCAAAGGAACTGACTGCTTTGTAGGTGATCTGCAAAAGAATAAGAAAGTTATAAACTGCCTTGAGCAGACGGACAGAGATTGCATCTTTATCCAGTAAACCCTTCTGATGTATGCGCTGTCAGACATTTTATGATAAGCTATCTTACTCTCTTATACTCTTCAAATCCCGAATCCCAAGAAGGGACACAGAAATTCAGCCATAACTGGCATGAGTTATTACTTTTATAGATACAGAGTCTTAAAGGCAGCAAGATTACAACTCTAAAGGATGGGTTCAGGCTTACATTAATTCCTTCAAGATGCTCGCTTTAACGGTGTCATTTTTTGAATTTGTCTCACTGTTGGTTTTGATCAGCAACAATAACAAAATGAAAACAACAAGCTAAAAACCAGATAAGCGAATAAAAAAGGTGTAGATCCCAGTTCCAGTTGACTTCACTATAATTACACTTTGCTCTGAATGAGATCATCTGTAAAAGACGACAAGGGTAGCTCAAGGCAAATTTTTCAGAAAGTGGGTAAAGTTTGTATTTTAGTCTGAAGCTTGGCTATTATAATTGCTAATTTGGAATTTTTCAGGTTATTATATTGTACCTAGGTCCGATTCTCATTTGGAGGGAAGTAGAGATAAAACGTTAACTAATATATGCAGAGCATATTTTGTATCCTCAGTTCCTTCTTTGGTTCAAAGAGTATTTCTAGTTTTCATTAGAAATGTTAATATAAGTTCACAGTAAAGCTTGATCCAGATTTCTTCTATTAGTTACTAAGTTCCATGCACTGTAATAAGAATTTAAAAATAAGAAATCCATAAGAAAATTTAAAAGTAAAAATTATTCACCCCTCCTTTTTTACTTTTAAAGTTTCATTTGTATGCAAGTAACTCCAAGATTTATAATAGAAAGTGATAAGTGACATTTGTTTTGCTATATTTATTTCATATCGTTATGACGAAGAAAACATAAAACGTAGAAACAGGAGTGTCAGCACTATACACCTTAAACACTAGCAATCTCCTAAAACATCTGACTTAATGAAAATTGATTTTTATATGACTCATCTAATATTAATAAAATGCTGAAAAATAGTATGAAAAGCTTTGACATCACCTAGATAAACATCGACATTATTTTGGTAGATATAGGGAGATCCTCTACCACAGAGATGTGAGCTAAATGACCTCTCACAGCTACTTTTGACTCTGTTTCCTACATTTCTATTATCCTTAACTGGGTTTTCCAAAATCGCAGTTAAGTTTTATTTAAAATAATGTAGGCTCTGCAGTCTATCTTAGATGCTTATTTTTTTTGCAGTGTTTACTTATTAGATATCTAAGTGGCTGCCGTTCAGTAATGAAGTAAGTTCTCCCACGGATCATGGAGAGAAAAAACCCAGTGTTTTCCCTGCTTAAAATGAACTTGCATTGTTTCTGTATTTCACTCTTACTTATAAGACTGTTAGTAATTACTTTCAGTAAAACTAATTTCTTATGTCTATCACTGCTTTGCAGTGATGCAAAAGGAAAAAATAAAAGGTGTAAGGGTCATTTTCTCACTGGATGCTGATTGTTTTTATCAAATTTTGATGAAACTTTGCTCAAAGCACTAACCCTTTTATTCCTACAGCTGTGGACCTGAGCTGGTCATAGAGCGAAATGGTGTAAACTGTCATGTCATTAGATGACCTAAAGGCTTTTTACTTTAAATATTAGTAAAATAATTGGATTTGCACTTAATTTCACAATAGCAATGAGTATTTTAATACTTGATACTTCAATGCACTTTTTTTTTCTACCACGTATATTGAAAGACTGTATGCTTCAGGCACTAAAAACAAATGCCTGGCCCCTAAGTTATGAAATGTCTAACAACACACAAACTTAGTTACTCAAGAAATGCTAGATATAGAGATGAGATAGTGCTTGCTCTCTGGCAGCTGGGATGCAGATGCAGGACTGCATAGTAGGTTCATGTGTCTGCTGGAGTCAAGACGCTGGGATCTCCTGCTGAATCTGTAGTCTTACAGCTGCCCCTATAAAGAACTGGCACCACCTCAAGAGCTTGCCCTGGCAAGAGCAACTTTGCTCTCAGGTCTGGCTCAGGCTTATGCATGTGCAGGCTTACCTTGCCCAAGCTGTGTGTCTTCAACTCACAAGTACCTCCTGGTACTTTGAGTTACAGTAGATAAACAGTATAAGGAAGTATCAGCATTTTCTTTTCAATATTCTCCTAATTGTTAGAATGCTACATTCTTTTGATGTTCACAGACTTGCACAATTTTGACTACCTTAGAAAGTCTGGCCAAAATATTTTGTCCTATCTCTGTTGCACCTGCACAAGTCCCATTACAGTTGATGGAGTTATGAATGTGTATACACGTAAGAATGAACTGCAGGTATACAGTGCAATGTCAATTAGGCATGCATGCATGTATGGCAGTAGAAAGTTGGTTCACCACTGTGTATTTCTATATACATACAATCATAGAATGTTAGGGGTTGGAAGAGACCTCTAGAGATCACCTAGTCCAACCCCAAACATAAAATCTAGCATCAGTAAAAGCATTAACACATTAACTAAAACATTCTGATCCCTGAAGGTACGCAACTGTGAACTAGGTGGAGGGTAGTTAGCTTTATAAAAAATCAATTCATACCTTTTCATAACATTTTATCCTCTTAAAATAAAACAGTTTTCAAAACAATATCAATAGGTTACTATTCAATTTAACTTTTCTCTTATACCGTATCTAATTTAGGTATTTTTTTTTTAGACAAAGCACTTCAATACCAATTTTGTAGTAAGGTCAGGTAAGAAGCTTAACTGTGATTACTGTCTGACAGCTTAATCTCTGCAGTCTTTTGTCAATTTTTCTAAAAGGTATTCAGGCAGAGTTTCCACATAAGAAAAAAGCAGATATTTTCAGACACCTAACAACATACAATTTTGTTGAATTTGCATTTTAAAACCGTTAGATGCTTTTTAATTATGCCTGCTTGTTTCTATTACAACACGCTTCCTATAATGAGTGTTATCTGAATGTGTTGTTAACTGTCACCATTGTGCTATGTCTATTTTTCTAAAAGTTCAGTAAGATTTGTCTTTCAATCTTGTAAACATTTGATCCACATTACTAGGTAGAATGCTATATCACATGGTTCTGAAAATAGGAGTTTACTCAAAGCTGATAACCTGGGGACATTCTGAGGCCTGCATAATTCAGTCCTACATTATATATTTCACTTCATTACTTTGCAAATGCTACTGTCTTCAGAAAGAAGATTTATTTTACCCAGACTAGAAAAAACCCCACTTTTCTTACTGATTATATATTTTTGAAAGTCAAAACTATACATAAAAAATTAAAACATGGCAAAATGCTAGGTACCTCATACAAAGTAATCACACCATACGTTTGCGCTGGTTCTCTCCACTGAAGAAAAATCTTCTCTTCAAAGGTACTCCCTTGCATGGATTCAAGTGGCACAGCACTTGGGACTAATGGACAGAAAAAGGAAAAAATGCTGTTTTGAGAAAAAATTCTGAAGGATCTACTCTGCTTAATATTTGTGCTGTTAAGGCATAAACCCCATCCCACTATTATTTCCCCAATACTGAAGCCAAGGCCAGGGTAGCTCAGGGGAAGAATGATTTATTTAACAGGATAGTGTTGTGAAGGAAACATATGTGTCACCTCCAGTGTAAGATGGAATTAGTGAGTACCACACTTGTCCCGTAAAACGCTACTGACAAAAAAAAAGGATAAATCAGCTCTTCACAAGGAATTAGGCGATATTTCAGCCATAAATTCTTGTGAAAAACCCGCACTTGTGATACCTACTAATCAACAGCATTAGTGTCCCGTAGTGAAAACCACATTAAGCATTCATAAATGAAAATGCACAAGCATTGAAGTAACAAGGCATAGTTTCAACAGCCTGAAATAAAACAGTTAGCTCAAAAAGATGAACCACATGTTGCATAGAACAGCAATGCTCACTGACATTGAGCCTGAAGACCTACAACAGGGTGTGTATAAGGATGTTATGAAGCATTTTCAAACTGAAAATCTGACATTATACATTTTTCTTAAAGTCTCTTAATTTGTGAGAATGACGTCTGAAGAGTCAGGGATGTCACAAGGTTCAGATAAAAGGTATGTCAATCGCTCTCAGGTATCTACTTATGTTTCCTGTTTGTTCTGCAGCAATTACCTTATCCCCAGGCCAACCTCCACACAGTTTTCAGTGAAGGAGATGTGTAAAGAGCATATGGACATGTATTGGCAATTTAAATTTTGTAACAACACTTGCAATGAAGTGTGAAAAGAAAATCCTGAAAAATGCAGACAGGACCACTGCATGGCAACAGGCATTGATGGGTTAGCGCTTTTCCACAAACTGCATGTGGAAATCCAGTAAGAAGATACACTTAACATCTTCCACAGGCTTGAGAAAGAAGGTGGAAACTACTTGCCACAATGGTTGAAATAACTTCTAAGATCCCTTACTGAGATTTACCCGAATGGTTCAAGAACAGAAAGATCTGCAAGCAAGACATTTGGTGACTCCTTCCTGTTGTGAGGTCTAGTAGAGAATTGTCCTCCTCTTACTGCAGCATGCTCTTGCTCTGGGAGCTTACATAGTTTGAGACTTCACAATCACCTCTCCACAGCTCTCTGCAGAGTCCCTTGTTCTACCAAGGGGAAGCTCCAGGAACACAGATGATAGTTTCTGCCCTGGCTTACCAGTCCTGTATGGACCAGTGAGATTGTGCCTTTAGGGCAACCTTAAGTCTGGGCACTAAAACTTGCTTCCAAGTAGGAGAGAACCGTAAAAGTTCTTTTGGAATCATGGAGTTAATGATTCATGTGTAAAGGAAGAGGAATATAGCGTAAATAAGTTGGAAGTATAGAAAAAGACTGTGGTAACCCTCTTAAGTTATCTAAAACCCCACATTAGCTGAAAATTGCTAAAAGGAAGAGAATACCTATATATTCCAATGTCTGTATATAGAATATTTTGCAAGAGCAAGAAGCTAATGGCATCCAGTGGTTGGAAAGCCAAAGCTAGAGAAATTGAAACGGCAAATCAAGAACAAACGCTTAATGTTGAGCATATATCACTCAATAGAAAAGCTTATATGAGGGAGAATACCGTGGACAACCACCTGAAATTTCTTCAAATTGATACTGCAACTTTTAAGAAGCAGAATATAGTTCAAGTACAAGTTACGAGTTTAAAGAAGTAATGATTAAATGATATGCAATGTTATAGGTTACATAAAAGATAGTAACATTTTTAATGGACCCATTACTGCCTTCAAATTGGTGACATTGGTGGAAAATCTGTTACAGATATAGTGAAAGTAGAAAATGTACTTACATAGAAAAGTGTATTGACTATCAGGCAGTAGGCATGTGCAGTGTACATGTGTATGAAAACACAAAAACTCACCATCTTCATCAGTTTGTACAACAAGTTCTTGGCTTTCTTTTCGTCCTTCGGAATTCATTAGTACTAATTTGATGCTGACATTTGTGTATGGTGAAAGATTAGTAATTGTGTGCTGGGGATGTGAACTTTCTGTATCCCAGCTTACTTCTTCTCTCACTTGCTCTTGTCCTCCAGCCTGATAACGGTAATGGACTGTGAGGTTGTATCGATGGCAACGCGTGACATTATATCCAAACGGTTCCCAGCAAATAGTGATTTGTCTAGATTTGATCTCCACAACCTCTAGTTTTCGTGGCCCACGCATTGGATCTGCAAAATCACCAACATAATTCTGGTATGATTATTTATTCACATTATAACAGTAACATAAGTTATATAGTTCTATAAATATGACACATAAGCAGAAACAGAAATTCATTGCTTTATCTCTCATAATGTAAATGACAGCAAAAGTATAGGTCTCCAAAAAATCAGGAAAAATGCACTGAGAAATGGAAAGAGAAGTGTCTTTGATGAAAAACGAAGAGCAAACAAAATACCAGAAAGCTTTTGTGCTTGAACTTGAAGTGCACAATATAGTTTCAGTGATGCTTACTTCTTTACCAATCTGTTGCTTGAGAAAAATAATTATGTCCTATCTTGTTTACAAATTAGTTTGTATTAACACTTTGAGAGCAAAAATCTTCACAGAACATGTATCTAAAAAGAAAAGGTATTTTTCAGGAAAACTTGCAAACACATGGTGATTTTCTCCCAGGACTGTTGATACAAAGAAAAAGCTTTAGGTGGTTCTCCAGCTGTTTCTTATTCATTTGTTTTTAAGTTACACTAAATACAATTACTCAAACTCTATTTGTCCTTCAAAATAGTCCATAGGGTTCTTTTCCCATAAATAGCAGTTGTTAATAGCGTCCATATTTCCTTTTTTTTTTTTTACCACATCTAAAGTAAACAGCACAAATACCACAATTTGTAGTGGTGGTTTAGCAAACAATCAAAAGAAACAGACAGAAGGCACATCAGCCAATATTCTTATGCATCTGTGCTTTCCTAGAGATGTCCCAGTCAACAACCAGCCATAAATCACATCTAGCAAAATCATAGCCAAGAATTTATGGCTTTCTATACACAAGAAGCAAAGATTGTTGTTGATGAAGTTATATTTTCTTCATTCCTCCTGGCCCCAGCACTTGAGATAGAAAAGTGAAGCCAATTCCACCACATTACAGCAAAACCACATTTTCAAACCACCGTCATTAATAGAGCTATTATACATATTTAGCAGCAATCTGGGTTTTTTCATATTGGAGCCCTCAAAAAGATTAAAGACAACGTCTGATTTTATCTACTGCTTCACTAGTTAAATGCTTAGAAGACTTTTAATGAGCTAGAAGCCTCTTATACATAAACAAATTAATATGCATCTTCCCTCTTTCATGTTTATTAATCAACATGTCTTCACTAGAAATGTTCTAAACAATTTACACAGGATTTCATCTTTTTACTTTGTAATAAAATTCTCGCATGCTTGAAATATTTGTTCAAAGATGTTATTCATCTTAATTCCTTGAAGAAAAGGTGTTAAGAAATTGCTTGTTCTCTCTTAACATCTACAAAGCAGCATATTTTTTTGCCTTTCAAAACTTAAATCCTCTGGCTTCTATCTATCTATCTATCTATCTATCTATCTATCTATCTATCTATCTATCTATCTATTTAAAATTAATTGCCTCTACCCAACATCTAAACCTGGCCTCGTTTCGGGTGACTAGACTGGTGACTGGTAAAAATGTCCTCACCAAGGACAAATCAGTATAGAGTCATTCGCCTGCTCCCATGCTCAGATACCCCAGCCAAGAATCCAGGTGTTTGGAGTGTTTGGGGTATTTTCTATTGCTACAAAAAAGATTAATGAGAAGCAAATGTCAAAGACTGGCAAGTCCTAAGAGTTTCATGTCTTCCCTAAGCATTTCTTTCTGCATAATTCAGACGCAAATCTCATGAACAAGAAATTTTCCCCTTTTTTTGGCTTCATAGCAGCTTTTAAGCATTTCTTCACTTAGGTGAGACTGTGAACAGTAAAGGACATTTGTTGGGTATTGTGTAACTATAATGGTATCCAAAAGGGCAAAATAGGAATAAAAAACCAACAAAACCAAGGTGACCCTGACATGCAACATTATGCAGCTGAATAAAGCCCCTAGCTGAAAGAATATGGAACAGTTTGCTCAGTTCCACAGTCAGCACATCAGAAAATTCACAAATGAGATGAGAAATCATTTTATTAGAGACATTAAAACTGATTTCTAGCATTTTAGAACTGAGATGCAGTGGCTCTACGAAAAATCCTGAATTAAAAGCTATCCAAGACTTCTGCCCAGGAGGAAGATATTCTTATGTCATGTTACCTTAGCAAAAAGTACAAGCTAACCCTCTAGTTAAATCTGGAAGTCATTGCTACGAGAATGACAGATACATTTTCATTTCTAACAAAACAGACAAGGGAAAAAAGAGATTAGATTGTAAAAGATGGAGATGATACAGCTTTTGTTGATATTCACAGGATAAAACTCATCAGACAAGGCAAATACTCTGGTGGCTTTGGTTCCTGACTTGATTCTGTAATCTATAGTATCAGATAGCTACAGCACAGCTCCTATCTGGTCTTCTTACCATTCATTCAGTCATTCATTCAGAGATTATGCAACTGACAGGGCCCTAGAGATCCCTTTGTGGGTAAGTGTAGTGTGTCAACCAGTCAAGGACAGCACTCAGTAGACAGAAAGAGAGAGGTAGGATATAAAAAAATAACCTGGGACACAGTAGAGACAGACACATAAGGAAAAATAAAGCAGTATCTTATAGGATGCACCAGGTGGGATAACCGCTGGTTTATGGGAGATGTCCATCGAGAAAGTGAGGTTGAATATTCCAAAGAGGTTTGTTCATGAAAGAGCCTCTGAAGATAAAGGCCTGTACTTAAAACAATGTACACACTTTGTGTCCTTGATCTCACTTTCAAGTGAATGCAGTTAGTGGAATAGATGCTTTATTATTTCTCTCATCAGATAAACCTAATTCCTGACGTACCACTATTTTACTTTATTTAATCTTTCTTTCCAAACCCCACACTTCTCTCATTTGCCAGACATGACTTCACTACAGACCTAAGGATATCAGTTCTCATTTGCTCTACATAGCTGAGTTCTCAGTCATAATAGATCTACAAGTACAAGACGTTTTTTGGATAAGTTCAGTTCTTTCATACAGTAAGCAGGAAAGATGCAAAGAGAAATATGTCCACTTTAAACCAGAAAAAAAGCCTAAGGTAACAGTGGAATTTTTTTATTAAAAAACCATGTGGCTCAAAACACAAGGAAAATATGAAAAACTGGTATGAAAAAATGCAGTTATTGCAACAAAAGATAGAAAAAGAAGTTCCTATTTGATCGAGTTAGCACTAAGCTTCTCTGGTATCGCTGTATGCCCCAGAGGAAACACTTAATGTGATATGGTTCTGAGAGGCCAGTACATCACTTCCAATACACTGCCAAGTATATGCTCTTCATCATGAAGGATGCAGAATATTTGGGGAAAGAAAACTGTTAAGGAACACAAGAAGAATGACAGCTAATGCCTATGGCTGAAACAGGAAAGTTGAATTAATTACTACAGCATCATGTCTTCGTTTGGTTGATTTTACTTTCTACAGGATCTTTTTATCACCTGTTCACGGTAAGTGCCCAAATTTAAGTTAAAAAGTAAGCATTCCATAAAGATGCCACACTGTTGTGCTCGTGAGTCTTGCACTAACTATTCATATAGTACTTGAAGGCTGCCATCCTAGCAATGGTCTGCTGCTGTTACCTTGCATGAGGTGACAGCTACACAGGGAAGTGCCATTTCACAGTGGTTATCACAACTGAAATCACTTTTTCTAGACAAGACAAATAAGATTAATATGCCGTGCCAATTATCCTACATGCAACTTACACAACCCACACATACCAGCGATTTGCTGAACCTTCGTTTTTCCCTTACTTGATAAAGGCCCACCTAGAGAGAGGTTATACAGCCAGATCTCTCCGCTCGCTCTGCAGTTCTCCAGATGAACAGAGCCTCTGTCGTTCCTCACTATTGCAGCTATTTTTCATTAAAAGAATCACGAGGCGGATGGGGAAAATAAGGCTTACCATTTCATAAGAAAAGAGGTTTTCCTCCCAAAGGAGTGCACTGCCTGTCATGCCTGAAGCTTGGCCAGGTAGTTCTTACCAATTCCCCTGCCGGCGCCTGCAGCATTTTTCATGCTGCTCTCCTTCTGCCAGCTTCAGCAGGGTATCAGGCAGTGAAGTCTGACAGTTGCGGCTTCAACCTGAGGGACCAGCAAGCCTGGTTCTAGCCCCTGGCACTTTAGCATCCCATTTAATCGGTGATCTTGGCTCCTTCTCTGCTCTGCTCTCTTTTCCTGAGAATATGGAGCAGAGACTGACAGACAGGATCAATTTCCGTTGCAGTTGCAATTCACAGCTCATTTCTCTGAAACTTCACACTTTACCTCTTACCACAAGTACAATGCTTTTTCAGAAACTCAATTTCAGAATCACAGAGACATTTACGTGTATTTTTAGCATCCTGTCATTGATCATCAAAACTTGCGGTTAGAATGAAAACTCAGACTGCAAGTTTTGTCTTTCCATTGCAGATTGCACAGACCTGCTGAAACAAGAGATAAAGAAAGGAATAGCATGGTGATAGCATGATACTCCACTAGCTGCAGACATGTGGTATGTGTTAGAGACACAAAAGACATATGACCAATAGGAATGAAGCGTTTACTTTTTGTCTAGGCAAACTGTCAGTGTGGTTTAGCTCTGTAACAACTCTTGCGATTTAATTTACAGATGGGTCTCGATTATCCTTCCACAGGAAGCAAAGGATGAACAGAACACAAAAATATAAAAATTTAAGATGAAAACTGAATAGTTTGAGATTTAAGGTATTATCCACTACAGCAATTTTAAACACAGAACTGAATTAATGCTAATTAAATGTACAGACTTTGTCCCAGATTGCCTAATCGGTATTGTTCAAATCACTTAACATCTTTCCACATCAATGTGCTCTGAGTAAAGCGGGAGTCATAGTACTCCAGCATCACTATCAGAGGGTGTTGCATATGATTTCATGAATGCCTGCAAGGAACTTGCATTCTACAGTGATGGAGAGCATGAGCACATACACACTTCAGACTTGACTCCTCATGATACATCAGGGCTACATCTGATTCAGCAGACAATTTAAGACATGTGCTTTATTTCAAAAAAGACTACT